GTAGTAGTAGTAGTAGTTTAGTAGTGATAGTAGTAACAGTAGTAGTAGTAGTAGTAGTAGTAGCAGCAGTAGTAGTAGTAGTAGTAGTAGTTTTTTAGCAGTGATAGTAGTAACAGTAGTAGCAGTAGTAGGAGTATGTAGTACTGCTTGTCCTCGTCCTCGTCATTATCATCGTCGCTGTCGTCCTCAGAAAAATCAAAGCAGGAAAAGCGTGATTGCCAGCATGAGTGCTAGCAATAGTGACGGTGATACCCGTGCCGAGCAAAGCTGGCGTTCATGAGACCGTGATCGGGAATCCCGGCTGCGATGCACCTCCATTGGATTCTGGGCGCGCAAGACATCCGTGGCAACAGCGGCGCTTCAAATCTTTGGGGGTCTTGCACTTGCATGGAGCTGAGAGTGATGCTGCCGCAGAAATCCCGGACTCGACCTCCCTTTCGGTAAACCCAGAGCATGCCTTTCCCTAAACCTAGAACTCGACGCGCGCCGGAAAGCCATCGTTCTGGCTTACACGGTTCCGGGGGCTCTGACGTGCAGGAAGGATGGGGGCGAATAAGGTGGCCGGCAACCCAGGAACTTTCCGGGCAGGGGTGGAATTAGGAGTATTATGGTCTTGGGTTTAGGGTTTGGGAGTTTCGGGTCGAGGGTCTACCAGGCTTTTCGGCTGTTTTGGGGTTTAGGGTTGGGATGTCTTGCGAGAACGGGTTGTAGCTTCGTTGGTTGTAGGGTCTCGGGGAATTCCGGTGGTCTAATTCTGAAGCCTCGGCGTAGAGTTTCTGAGTGGGACGTGAGTCAGCCTTCAGGCCCAGTGGCTGAAGCAAGATCCTCTAACCCTCACCGCCGGCAACGTCACCTCATTGCTTCGCCCAGCCCCCTGCACCCTGAACCTTAGTTTCCTAGCTCTATGCGCAAGAGGCCATCGAAGGACATGTAGACTTGTGGATGTTTCCCTCGAGCCACCCTAGAACGAGAAATCTTTGAAAGTTGGAACCTGTAGGCTATATGCATCGGAAATCTGCCTATGGCTTTGGACATGCCAGAGATGAAACTCAAGGACCTGTGTCGCGAACGTGCAGATGTCTGCTGCAGCTGAGGACCATGATTGGTGCAGACGATGACATGGATGAGGATGAGGATGATGATGATGATGATGACGGCCACGGCAATGCTGATCTGACAACGACAGTGCTGATGTTGATGCCGATGATGACGACGATGAACATGATTGTGATTGTGCTGACGATCATGATGATGGTGCTGGTGCTGATGCTGATGGGACTTGTAGTGATGGCTAGACACGTAGTGTAACGTCCACGCATGCTTGCGATCGTCATGGTCATGGTTGTAGCCGTTGTCACTGCAGTCCTCATCCTCGTCGTCATCCCCATCCTTGTTGTGACGTGGTGTTCGTCGTGGTTGTCCCGGTGGCCGCGGTACTTGTTCTCATCGTCCTCCTCCTCTTCCTCCTGCTCCTGCTCCTGCTGCTCCTCCTCATCGGCGTCGTCACTACCCTAAAACCCTAAAGCGCTAAACCCTAAACCCTAAGCCCACCATTGAGAACCGGTCTTTACAGTTGCCCCCAGGTCCAGAAGTCCAAGGAGGCCAAGATGAAGGCCGCCATGGCCGGCGGTAAGTCCCGCAAGAAGATCCTCGGCAGCCTTTTGGTTCCTGGAGCTCTATCAATAAGCCGACACCGACAAAATGGGGAGAAGCAAGGATAGCGTCCTGCACAAGTCTATCTGCTTTGCACAAGAAGTAGCTGGTTCTTATTCTGATATCTTCACTTGAGTTGATGAGTTATGCTCCACCTTTCAAGACCTTCTCCAGAGCCACCAGATGCAAAGTCGTAAATCCTCAAGCCGAAGCGGTCTATCGCAGTTCGGTGCGTTTCAGAGCCTGCAGTCATAAAGCTAGAGTCTTGGCTTCTGGTTCCTGCAGTAGTTCCCGTTATGCTTGTGAGACCTGCATATCACTACTGCATGCAACGACGATTTGTATGCCAAAGCAGAAGTTTAATGAATCCCGGGCCCCCTGTTCGTTTTTTTCTTCTCCGTAGCACGAATCATGAGACAGCTGGTCGGTGCCGGTGAAGGGAAAACTATAGACTTCAGTCTATCTCCGCGATCCCCGTGAATCCCTGCATGTCGCTGAAACGTATCTGCACCCGAAGCTCCCAGTCCACAAAGAAGTGGTGCTAAGAAAAGCCCCTCATGGAACACCCGAACACCCGAGCCCCTCGACAGCCCTACTAGTTAATGCCTTAATGCCCTGAAGCGCCAGAGCCTTCTGAGGAAGTGGGCCAAGGGCAAGGCCAACTTTGCTTTAGGTCTTCACCGGGCTGGGTTTGGATTTTTCAGTTTTTTTTTTGCACGTGTCGACCGAAATATGCGCGGTGGCTGTTCATTGATGCCGGCTTTCACAAGATCAGAGCCAGAATCACCAGTCCTCAGTTTCCTGAGCATAATTTGGGGGAAGGTGTCTTTACATGACGAAGCCCGAG